AAAACTATTGATAGTGCCCTCCTGGAGAGAGTAGAACTAGGTGTGAGCTTAAATCTTGAGAGTGACAAAGAACATTTGATAGACAAGTGCATCACAGATAGGCTAAATGTCCATGATGGCTCAATAGGTGTCAACGTGACCGTAGGGATCATATACATCTTTATAGGAACCTATGCTCAGGATTTTGAAATACTTTTGGATGAGGTGTTGGAGAACTGCCTCAGTCAATGGTGAAGACTCTAGAAAGTAATGATGGGTGGGGAAGTGATCATTATCTTCTAGAAGAAACTTTTTCTGAAAAGGCGTCGTAGCTTATCACAAATTAGACTACAATAAGCAACGATAAGATATGGTAGAGCAAAGTTTCTCGTGAGCACCGGAGGGTGTACAACCATCCTAGCTATGTGGGATAGGTGAGTGGAACTCCCAGTATCAAGGAGGTCGACATCCCATCCTAGTAGAGAAAGGATTCTATCAAGTAGTGGGGAACATGTATGACCATACTTGATTAAGAAATTTCTCGTTGACATCCTAACTACTGGTAAATGTGCTCCATTTGACTATGCAACATCAATTGTCGGGCATCACGCAAGAGCTAAAAAATCTCATCTTGATGTTTCTCCATTATACTCCTTGATCCTCTAAAAAGAGACCTATTGAGCCTTCACCAGTAGAATAATGTCTTCAAAGGAGAGAAAATAAAGATAATTAACATCCTTGGCTTTATGATTATCCCCTAAAATGGTTTGTATTAGAGCGGGGTCCTTCGTTATTGTGAGTGTTACATCTAGTGGTCATTCAATAATTTTTGCAAGCCCTTAAGTGGTGTCCCAAGAATGATGCCAAATTGATGTATACCGAAAAATTCACAACAATGGAGTGATTATTTTAGGTCAAGTATTGCACAAAATTTCAACACACAATCAAGTAGTAAAATTGATAGAAATAGACATCATAAGTTATTATGTGGAAAACCTAAAAGGAAAAAAATCACCGACCCTAGCCCTGTTGAAATAATCCACTATGAGCGATTGATTACTTGTCTAAGACCTTATCCCATAAGCAGGAAAGGTTTGCACAGTTCCTCAAAGTACAATGTTTGTAAACTAAAATTTTTTTTTGCATAGTGGTCGGGAGCGGTTGCAGTTTTGAGTAGTTGTTAGAGCGTCAATATACATCACGTTGAGGATGTGTGTTACTCTGTAGAATGCTTCATTACTCAGCGATATTGATCGTGACTCTGCACAATGCTTCATAAGTCTTGACTCCACACAATGCTTTATTGCAACATGCAGGGAGTGCCTATGGCAGTTGACGATGACCAACGAGCGGTGGTCAGCGATTACAGGAGCGGGAAGCGTTTGTTGGATATTCGGTACAAAAACAACACTTGAACTTAACTCTTTCACCTGATCCTCCTGCACGCTTCAGTCTTTTGGTTCAAGGCCTAGGTCGCCTTCATGATAGGGTAAGGGTTCAATATATAAAGTCTTGGAGTAGCCTTCCTACCCAAAAAAAAAAATCTAGACCACACAATCAGATGATCCACACAATCAGATGATCATGAGATAATGCCATGATTGTATGATGTTTTGTAGACATTTAAATGCCTTAACGATATTATAATTGAGTGATCTTACGCTCGTTGAACTCTTCTCATTGATATTTCTTATTTAATTATATGTTTTTCATATTTGAAATCCATTTGACCTTTTGATTGCACATCAAAGACTTCTAAAAATAGTTTAAAAGCTCGATTTGGGCTAGATTTGATTCAGATTAGGTTAATCTTTGTGTCTTTGGGTCCATCTTGTCGAGCCAGCTGTTTAACTGTATGTTTGATGAAATTAGAGTTTTGGATTATCTTTAATTAGAGTTTCAATGTTTCTCACACAAACGCTTAAATCGAGATTCATGTTGCTTCTCAAGATTCATGACAAAGGATGAAAATTTGCTGATGGCATATCAATGTATATAAATATACAAATGTAACAGTGACCCTATATGATATTAGTTAGGAAAGACGTGCACATGTGCATGTTAATAGAAATAGAAATGAAAATAGCTACCTTCTACTTTAAGTTGGTTTCGAAAAAAGGCTGCAGAAGCTAATGTCTTTAACGTACACATTAGATAGTGACTTGTGACTGATATTTTATATGAAATAAATAAGAGTAAAATAAACATATAAAATAAGAACTGCTTCATTTATTATTTGATTTTTTTATTTTTGCCCTAGATTCTTAAAGGAATGTGAATACATACTACTTTCCTCTTGTATAGTTTTTTTTTTAATTATAAATTATTGTAATTTAGAAATATTTATAACCATTGAGTTGTTTAGCTCATATTATAGCTATTAAATATTTTCAAGTAAATTTCCTTTTGAGTGAATATATAATAGTATTATGTCTAATCCCACCGAAGAGCCCTAAGAGATAGTTAAGATGATGAAGTTCTTTTATATCGGTCATAAAATTGAAGTTAAATGGATTTTTAATTAAATAAATCTTTGGATGTAACTGTCTTGTTTATGATTAGGAAGACTCCTAAATGTTTATGAAAAATTTCATTTAAATAAGTCCTATATTTATTCATGAATTTCTTCATCTGACCGTTTGTTTCCACATTGATATTTCAAGTTTCAAATCGGGTCATGACAATTATAGGCTTATAGGTTCAATAGGGTGGTGGTAATTTATAATCATAGTAGGGTCAATGGTTTAATGATAACAATAGTCTATTGCTAAAGATCATCAAATATAGATTGTTAAACAAAGTTTGAATTTTTAATATCTCTTTGCTCTTTTTTTTTTTTTTTTTTCTTCTCATCCATATAAATGATGCAAGTTTTATTTTATTGTTAAAGTAATAATATAATTATTTTAGGCAAAGTTTTCAAAAGCTCTATGAAATGACTTGTGTAAGTTCTCATGATTATATATCACAATCATTGCTTAATCATTTAATTAACTTATTGATGTTAGAATGGAATGATTATAAACATCTTGAATTCCTCTTAACATAACACTTATTTTAATAATAACCACACAAGATTCAAAGATCATCTGATCTGTCATATAATATTATGAACTTTCCCACTATAATCAAAGTGCAAGATTTAAACATATTTAGCCTCGAAACCAAATTGAAGTCATTGAAACATTCATTCTAACAACACATTTAGTGAAGTTCAAAAATGGGATAAATCTAATCCTAATCTTAAATATTATGATAGACTATGTGTTATTTGATCATTTGAATTTATAATCATTTACATTTCAATTAAATCCACATCAATAGAAATTAATGTCTCAATAATCCCTATCAAACTCAAATAAATAACTAGGAGATGAGCTTTGCATCTGCCTGCCTTGTAACGTCTGTCAGCTATCGTGTCATGCTATTGTAGTGTCATGATGTATTAACATCCCCAAACTCGTCCTGACGCGGAATACATAGTTATTCCTTAGCTTCAAAAACTGAATAACCGCCGTCAATTATTATTATAATTAAGCATATTAAGATGAAAACTTTCAGCATGATTAAAAATTAAAAATTTTTTAATTACCCGAGTATTATAACTTACAAGGTTAGTTATGGACTTAAAAATGAATTAACGAGTGTATTAAGAGTGAATAGCCTGCAGCCGCACTAACCACCTCCTTGCACACGTAATTAAAGAGGCGATAACTCTACAATGATGATTAGCTAATAAATCCTAATATTTCGGGTTTAAGAAAATTACGAAAAAACCTTAGAAGGTGTGGGTCCGTTACGGCAGCTGACCACCTAACACTTTAACGCTTGTCAGTTAGATAGGGTGTAAACCAACGTTAACGAGTTGGGATTTTGTTTGAATCCATTACCAAAAAATCAACAAGAAATAAACTTTTTTTCTTTTTCATTTTTTCACATAAAATTCTATATATATATATAGTGACTACTAAATGCCATATATATATAGACACACACGCGCACACACACACACACATATATTTGGAGCTTTTCTCATATCTGAGGCCTTATTTTGGATCTCATTTTGTATTTTGATGTACATGTCAATTTTGGGTATATTTTTCTTTTTGGTACAGTGTATCTTATGTATTTTTTGGGTATACAATATGAATTATTGTTTTTCTTACAATTTTTTGGTACGAAGTTGTAATGTGAAAAGAGGAATCCTTAATATATATATTTTTTCTTTTTATATTGAGATCCACTTTTACTCTCTCAATTTTATATGTTAATTTTATATTAATATTTAGAGAGCCACGAATTATTTTTTTCTTAAAGTATATATATATATATGGTTGAAAAAACAGGTTTGAAAGCGCTGACGGTTGGGTGATAACGTGGGTGCAGAAAACTCGGGGTATGGACGAGAAATATAAGGGTGTGGGGCCCAGGCCGGCGAAGAGAGCGGCGGGTCCCAGCATGAAGCAGAGAACATTCGTTTATGTGACTGCACACGTGTCAGACGGAGGGGGGTTCAGCATTCAGCTTACCTGAGGCGAGCAAGGCAGGTGTGGGGTCGTTGGATGGTTTGGTTCTCCAACTATTTTACCCCTCCAGCTGCATACCCTTTGGTACTAAAGTAGTCCGTCCCATAATACCCTTAGGATTTTCAACATTTCCAACTGTACGTATACTGTTATCTGTAGTTTCCGGGTCTAGGGGTGGAGGGGTAATTTCGTCCGTCGGCAGTGATCATTTTGAAAAAAGAAAGGGAAGGCTGATCGCGAGGAGATTCGAGTGGCGGAGAGTCGCCAACGTAGCCCATCTTTACAAATTTTGAATTGGGCGACCGACAAGTGGCAGTTCCTTAGGGGTAAGTCCACCGGCAAGCACCGGTTGTCCGCGTAGAAAGCGTCATTAAGGTCTCACCTGTCGGCTTATTATATTCATTTATTGCCTATTATATATTTGTTATATCAATAATTATTTAAATCAAAAAAAAAGGAAAGTGGGTTGAGATGTATGCGTGTATATAAGAGGAGATGGAATTGGTGCGCTTTAATTGGAGGATTCGAGTTACAGAGAAAGCTGCGCGGCCGTTCTGTCCATTTTGTGTGGTTTTCTGTTAGATTCCCACCGCCGTCGACGGAAAGTGAAGCCGGAGATCGAAACCGGCGTCGCCGCCAAGATGGCTTCCGGGTTTCCTAGTCGAGATCTTCGGGGAGGGTTTGGGTTTGGGGCCGGATCCGCTGTTCATATGCAGTACCAGCAGCGATCTGACGGTGGATCGGTGATCGGTGCTGCTGGGCTCTTGAAGAGGTCTCTAACGGAGATGGAGAGGCAGCAGCAGATGCAACACGCGATGTACGTAAGGTCTGTGAAGCAGAAGACCCATTTCACCCCGCCTTCGCCGATCTCTCATCTTTCTTCCGTGTATCTCTCCGCTGCTTCAACAAGCACTACTTCTTCGATTCTGTCGTCTGTTTCCTCTGCCTCTGCTTCGGCGCCGTTCGTGGAGCAGGGGAATCCTAATTCGACCACATGGTCATTTCAGGAGACGATCGCTGATGCGGAGATAGAATCTGAGAAGAAATCAAGTATGACGAACAGGCTCTTGGAGTTGGAGAGGCAGCTGCTGGATGACGAAGAGGACGAGGTAAGCATCTCTGGCTCTGCGGTGACGAGTAACGAGTGGAACGAAACGATGGAGAAACTCATGTCTCCGCCGCCTCCACCTCAGCCGATGGCCCCTGTAGCAAATCTGCACCCTCTCTCCCCTTCTCCGACCACCTCATCTTCCTCATCTTCAGGTTCTTCTTCCTCCTGCACGCCCTCATCGGCCACGCCTTCGAGGCAGATGCTTCTGGACACCGCCACAGCCATCACAGAAGGGAATCAGGAAATCGCAGCGGCGAATCTAGCGGTTTTGAAGCGGGCAGCGAATCCCCGTGGCGATCCGGACCAGCGACTCACGGCGATGATGGTCGCTGCCCTCGTCTCCCGAATGAACCCAATGCCTCCTGGAAGTTCACTCCCGGTAGCTGATGTCTGCAGCGCAGAGCACCAGACTGCCTCCCACTTGCTCTACGAAGCCTCTCCCTGCTTCCAACTCGGCTTCATGGCGGCCAATCTTTCCATTCTCGATGCTACCAAAGACAGCCCCAAAATCCACGTCCTTGATTTCGACATCGGACAGGGCGATCAGCTTGCTTCCCTCATTCACGCCATCTCTGAGCGCTATGTTCAGCGTTCGCCCACACGACTGCCTCCATGTGTAAAGATTACAGCTGTCTCACCTCTTCAGGCCAACGAAACCACCAATCTGAGAGTTGTTGGCGACCGGCTTGCAAAACTAGCCGAACGACTTGGGGTTGGTCTCCGCTTCAGCATCGTGAACAGCAGAATCCAAGATCTCAACCACACCACCCTGCCCTGCGAGCCAGGTGAAGCCCTCGTTGTAAACTTCGCCTTCTTCCTCTCCCGAATCGCAGACGAAAGTGTATCGACGGCGAACCCCCGCGACGAGCTTCTCCGGCGAGTGAAATCCCTCTCCCCGCGTATAGTAACCATGGTAGAGCAGGAGATGAACAGCAACACAGCCCCCCTCGCCACACGTTTCGCTGAAGCCTGCGCTCATTTCGGCGCGCTGCTCGAGTCACTCGACGCCACCGCGACCCGAGAAAGCACCGAACGGGCCAGAGTTGAAGCTTGCCTCGCTCGCAAAGCGGCGAACTCCATTGCTCGTGAGGGCGCCGACCGGATCGAACGCTGCGAGGTATACGGCAAATGGAGAGCTCGGATGGGAATGGCTGGTTTTACCCCTGTTCCTCTCTGTTCCACCGTTACCGAAGCTGTCAAGCTTCGTCTCTCCTCTATACGAAACAATCCAGGGTTCACACTGAAGGAGGAGGCCGGGTGGCTCGGTTGCGGTTGGGTGGGCCGAGTTCTCACCGTCGCCTCCGCATGGCGTTAGGCGGAGATCACTAATCAGTAAGTAATCAACTTTGATTAGAGGACGCAACCTCAAAATTTAATCTTTTTTTTTTTTTTCCTTCTCAATAGAGTGGTAATTTAATTAATTATCTGAATGTAGTTTTTTTATATTTATTTGACATTCATGGCTGAGAAGATATTCTGCCAATCAAATGTTGCTGTATTGTTGTGGAATGATGTTTATGTGGAATTAGTGGGTGAAATAATTTATGAAGCTGTGCATAAGCTCTTGTTTAGTGGGAAAGCGAGTTTGGAGTCGAAGGTTGCATTCGTGTACACGAAATAGGAGGCCGGCTGCGTGCATTGTCTTAAGTGTATGCTGTGTGGTCATGGCGTGATGTTAATAACAATAATAATAATAATACTATCCACGTGGCTTACGGCGAGTGGGTTTCTTCAAGGTTTGAGGATTTCAGCAACTCCGGCTGACAGCTGGGCTTATGCTTTATGATTTATTGATGTGTTATGGAGTCTAAAAATTAAGTTTTTAGGGTTGACAAACTCAAATAAGAAGTAATATAAAATAACTTGATATAAGAATGAAATGATTGATTTGGTCTCGGGTGGGTTTTTTGGGCTGACTAGATTGGGATAAAGACAGTCCAATTGGGTAATAAAGTTTGGGCCGCATCTGGTTTTCCAATTCGGGTTATGATTTCATTTGTATCTCTCTTGCACGTGTGGAGGATAAAGCGGAGGCTCTTGACGCCACTGTAGAGTTTTCTCCATAGATGGTGATGCTTTAATATTCAATAAATAAGCTGCCATTTGGTCTTATATCGTCTGATTATCAGCAATTTCTGCTTTTGTTAATTTTATTTAAGAATTACTTGTTCTGGCAAGCATTCGTTCGAGATAGGACGGTAATATTTCCTTCAGTATTAATCTTGGAGATCTAAACTATGCAAGTGACCTTTTAAGAAACGGAGTAAATGGCACCAATGTTCAACCTTCTAAAAACTTCTTACATTGCTCATAAAGATAACTCATGAAGATGATCCATGTTCTTACATTGTGGCTATTTTGCACAATTTAAATTTATGACTAAGGCTTAGGGTCCGTTTGGGGTAACTTATAAATGCGGGGGGCATTTTTAAAAAGCCATCATACCTTTTGGTTCGCGCGTTTCACCAGCTTATCCAAAACTGCGTTTCGGTTTTTACACTAAACGCAAGCAGCGCTGCGGCCAGCCCGCGGGCCGCGTTTCACGATAAGTAGCTTATCCTGAAACGCACAAGCTGCCACAAACGGACCCTTAGTATATTAGTTGAAATTAACTGAAGAATTTAAAATTGTTATTTTTAAATGTTCGCCTTACTAGGAAAAGGAATATTTGTGACTTGAATTTTTTGTTTATTTAAATGTTTTTCTTAAACATGGGTTTAATAGCAAGTGAATATTGTTTTTTAAATAAATCAAATTACTCTCAAAAACATCAAAAGTAATTTTTTTTTCTTACTATTTAAATAATACGAGCTCTCCATCACACAAACTCGTATATCACATATGAAACCAAAACTTCCACCTCCCTCTCATTTCTTTACCAGTCGTCAACACCTAGCTAACCTTCGTCCATCGCCGCAACAACCATCGTCACCATTGCTATGATTGCCCTTCCCTTATTTGCTATTTGTTGTCATTTTATTGCTTTGCTGGTTGGCTAGTTCTCACACCTCACCATCCATTGTCTCCACCTCAGTGGCGGAATCTGAGGGTTGCTTGAGTGGGCACCCACAACATTTAGATTTTTACTAAATTCTTAATATGGTATAATAGAATGAAAAATTTTTCACCAAATTTTAATATTCAATAATAATTTATTTGTTGATTTCAAATTTGTCCGTGAATCATATCCAATCAATAAAGTATACATAAGAAGAGATAAAAAGAGAAAGAGAGAGAGAGAGAGGGAGAGAGAGAGGAACAAAAATCAAACGGAGCTCGGTCGGGTGGGCCGAGTGAAATCAGGCCAGACTAATTGGAACCTTGTCTAACCAAGTGGAGCCTGGTCAAGAGAGCTAGTAGAGCTAACTAGAACTAGTTTAGCCTAGCCAAATGGAGTTGGTTGAGCCAACTGGTCAAGTTCAATAAGTTCTTTGGACAATCTTAGTGCATTAATCAAGGAATATTCATGTCATACATATTAGTTCAATAACTCTCTTATTTGTTTGAAAATATATGTGAAAAGAATAAGAGAAAGATGAATATGACGTAGGCTTGATTTGGTGTCATTTTAAATATAGTTGAAGAAGAAAATATAAGTGATAATGAAACATCTTAAAAACACTACAAGATCAAATCAAATTGAGGGGCAAGAGTAAACTTTCCAATACTTTACAAATGTACGCTTAGGGTTTTATTCATATGATCTTTACCATAACATAAAAAAAATGTCCAATATCAAGACATAAAATAGTGAGTACAACTCAAAATATGACAATGTACAATTTGAACAAGTTGTTCATCTCAACAATATGACAAGGTCAGATGAATTTGGAATTAGCCCAGGAAATCCTAAAGCTTGTTCAAAGCTATCACCTGAATGTCTATGAAATTTTTGACATTTCATAGGACATTTAGGATTACTATGATTTGTTGAGGAAAATCATCCTCAAAACATAATAACCACTAAAACCAAACAAAAAAAGATGAAATCCTTAAGGACCCACCAAGATATGATCCGAGACCCTTTAAATAAACACATATTAGTGAGAATTATCTTATCACCACTTAACCTATAGTAAAACTCAATGCTCAAGGGCATGAGACTTGCATATGGTATTCAGACCCTTGTGATCAACTGGAGATATTTAAAATGTGGCCACATATAGATCGCCCGGCTAGTGTAAGTTGAGGGCTTTGGTAGCACGGACGGTGATGAGAAAGGCATCTGGTGATAAATTCAAAATGGTAGAATATATTGTACCTCTTGACCTGAGGACCTTGTGAGGTTATAAGATTGGAATTACTGTTCACCAACATTTGATAAGAGATTACCCCTTCTTTCTAAGGTTGTTGATGGTTCTGGTCCGACGGTGTAATGACTTGTTGGTAGCCTCACTTATAAAATATACAATACAATTACAAAACAACTATGTTTGTTGTGAAAATAATATTTGGAAAGCTAAGAGAAAATTTATCTTACTTATATGCATGACAAATTATGAATTTTGGTGTTACATTCTAAATGTCTACTTATCGGTTACCTGGACTAAGCTAAGAACTTCCCTCCTTTGATCATCTTGCTGGTAATTTCTAGTCAATGTCGGACTTTATACACATAGATTGTTGATAGTTGCCTATGAAGTCCCTTTGAAATGATAATTCTGAGTCCACCCCACAACTTGAAATTCTTACACTTAACCTCAATCGTACATATGAGTTTATTTAACATAATTCACCCGCTTGCATTTTTTTAATTTTATTTAATATTCAGATATTATGTTTTAAATGCTAACCTTTTAGTAGCAGCATCAGAGTAGGCAAGTAGGCACTGTCACGTTTCCTTTTTACTTAAGTGGATTGTAGGATCTAATACTTTGAATTGTTATTGTGGCTAGTGACAAATAGAAGCATTCATCTTCTTTAACCTCTGTCAAGTGTACAAACAAATTTGGTTAGCTTAGTTTTAATTCTTTAAACCCTAGATTGCATTGGTTACGATTCTAATCTGTCACCCTAGAGTCTCCAATTTATACCCTAAATTTGGCTAACCTAGTTTATATTCAATAAACCTTGATCAAATTGGTTAGGATTCTAGCCTGTCACCCTAGAGTCCCCAATTTAACCCATCAAAGCATATTTCCCTCTATATTTGCATCTCTCTATAGGTTACTTTTGCTTCATACCCTATAATTCAATGTGGTTTTTCCTAGTTATTCATGTCATAGCTCTCCCGAGTCTTCATGGTGAACTTATAATTTTAACAGTTCATATGGCCAGCACAAAAATAAATGAAACACAGAAAGAAAACTATCACAATAAAGTTTAAAAATCAATTCTAAATGCATTCCACACATCCTACAAATCTTACTTATTGAACAAAAGAGAATGGTAAATGAAATCTACTCACAAAATATGAAGAACACCATAAAAGACATCATCTTAACACAATCAAATCCACTAAATATATGTTTAAAACAAGTACAATACATTAGATAATAATATTCTTAGCATCTGCCCTTTGAAAAAGAGATGCAAATTCCTCCAACAAAGCCTTCTACTATTCCTTACAATGCTAATACAATTCTCATACAGTTTTCTCTCAACATCCCCTCTTCAATCTCTCATATAAAGGTAAAAATTTACATTTCCTACTCCTACCTAGGACCTCCTTGCCTTCCTTAGGGTTTCCAAGGCTTCTATACTGCCAAGAGTCCCCTCTCTAAGCATCAAAATTTGTCAAACAACTCCCTGGTTCATGATAAAACCCTCTCAGACAGTTCTGGAGCCTAGGCCCTCAGTCTGCGGCGTCTAGGCGATGCCTTCTTTGTTTGCAGGAAGTACACTTACACCTTGGAGCCCAAAAGTGGTGCCTAGACGCCAGTCTGTTGGCAGTTAAATTTGCTCCAATTACCTCCTTTCGCTTCATTCAGCTCCAGTTCACTCCAATTGTCCAATCTATCATACCTGCAACAAAACCATGAAAATACATTTTTTTAAAGTGCAATTTCATTCAACAACTACAATAAGTAAAAGAAATTAAACATGCTAAGAGACAATCGGCTATCATCGAGCTGTCAACAAAAGATTTAATATTCTAGCTAATTATATTTATTTAAATAAGATTTCTTATATGATATTAGCTATCAACGAGTTATCAACAAGCAATTTAACATTCTAGTTAATTAAATTTCACTTAAATAATATATCTTTTATGATATGAGCTATCATCGAGCTAATTATCAAGTATTTGATAAGTTACATATAGAACAACAAACGAGTTTGTTCGTGAACGTAAATGAACAAGTTTGACTATATTCATGTTTAGTTCATTTAAGCTTTAAGCTTTTAAAAATTGTTTAAGCTTATTTATTTACCAATTTGAACGAACTTGGTCAAGCCTTAATCGAGTCGAGTTCGAGTTATTCATCAAGTGCATTGGTTTATTTACAACCTTAGCCATGAGCCCTCTTA